TAGTCCAAATGACTTAGTTAACGTAAATGCAATCTAAGAGGAAAATTGTAGAATTATAATAAATAATGTCAAGTTTTAAATGATACGTTTACTACTCGATCTGTCGACGAGTCACTTACAATGACAACAATTTAAAAATTTGACAATATTATTTATTATAATTTTACAATTTCCTTTTTAGATTGCATTTGCGTTCACTAACAATGAGTCATTTGAAAAATGTTTTCAGAATTTTTTATCAACTTTTTAGTACTGCATTTTCTTATTGGCAATTACTATTATCAACATAGGAAAATGCGATACTAAAAAATTCTGAAAAAATTCTCAGAACTCTATGAGAAGAAAATAAACATTTCTTGTCTCTTGCTGTTTTTTTGTAAAGTTGATGGTACTTGAGTAAAAAATTATTGAAAATCAATATTGGGCGATTTTTATTAATTATTATCTTGTTAACTAGTGCGAAAATTGCAAAATGGTAAAGAATTTTTCGACTCAGTTTAGTCTACTCTACTAGCATATGAAATAGTTAGCGGTCATTCTAGAACAACCTGTACACACACACACACACACACGCGCGCGCGCACGCACGCACGGCAAGATTCACGAAACATTGGCATTAATGCCTGTTCTACAATAAGCTCATAAGGTGGAAACCCAAAAAAATTAACGAATCATACAGGATGTATCATTTTAATTGACGCACTAAAATATCTCTTGAACAGTGAATTTTAGAGAAAAATATTTCAGGCAAAAGTTATATGGTTTGGAGGGGGACATAAGTTGGTGCTATTGGTTTGACCATGGAAAGTCGTTTGAAGGTCACGTAAAGATCATCATCAATTTCTTGAATGGAATTCCATATATTTTATTGCATATTCTTGTAGCTTATCTCGAGAGCTTTTCAAAATACTATTGTATAATTAAGTTCATTTTCATTAAATATTTTTCGAGTTATAAGGCTTGCAAGTTACAGTACAGCCGGCATTAAGCATTATCCAAGGTGTCTGACCGACGGCTAAAACCTCTTGAATATTGTTCAGGATCATGATCTGGATAACGTTTGTCAAGACCATTGGAAGTTGTATCTCTTATTTTCATTTTTACGTAGAAATGTAACTTTTAGTGCAAAAATGAAAATAAGAGGAACAACTTCCAATGACCTTAATCTTGACAAATGTTATCCAGATCATAATCCTGAACAATATTCAAGAGGTTTTAGCCATCGGTTATTGCTTAATGCCGGCTGTGCTGTAACTTGCAAGCCTTATAACTTGAAAAGTATTTAATGAAAATGAACTTAATTATAGTGTTTTGAAAAGTTCTCGAGGTAAGCTACAAAAATATGCGATAAAATATATGGGATTCCATTTAGGAAATTGATGATGACCTTTACATGACCTTCAAACAACTTTCCACGGTCAAACCAGTAGCACCATCTTATGTCCCCCTCCAAACCATATAACTTTTGTCTGAAACATTTTTTTTTAAATGCATTGTTCAAGAGATATTTTAATACGTCAATTAAAATAATACACTCTGTAGTCGATTATTTGTTTTCATATTTAACTGTCGTTGGCCAATTTCTTACCATTTACAACTTGTGACCTTATGCGAGGACTATGCAGCATACACTTGCGACTTGCGATCTTAGTAACGCGATAATAGCGATAATAGCGATACTATTATAGTATCAGTGCGCTGCTCGCCCTGATGAAGTACACGGCAAGGTACACGAAACGTTGACATTAACAATTATGGATCATGACACGGCGATAACTCGTAAATCCTTTGGCTTTTGACTTCTGAAAAAACACGTGAAAGCTTCAAATGTAAACATTCTTATTAGTGAACTTGAAATTTACGCTTACTAGGAAGTTGTACATTACCATGAAGTAATATATTACCATTGAGTTTCTTTATGCTGATTTGGTTTCTGACTCTTGGTAAGCGTAAATTTCAAATTCACCAACAAGAATGCTTATATTTGAAACTTATACATATATGTAATCTAGAATGTTTTTCCGTTGAAGATAAGAATATACGAATATCAAGTAATCTACAGCGTTTAGCATGAGATGCGTGAAAATAGTACGTACAAACATGGGAGGCAATGCTTAATGTATTCAATTCGTATCATTGTATTAAATTAAGTTTCTACATTTACACAAATGCAATTAAATTAAGTTTCTACATTTACACAAAATGTGAACACAAAAATTTGTATATTATATATATATATATATATATAA